ACAGGTTCAATATCATGTTCCTTTTGTTCCTGTTGGGATTGAATTTTCATGTCTTCCTTCTCTTTAATTCTAGCCTCACTAACACACTCATGCAAACCTACGTCCATTTAAATACACACCAAGTAGCTCCTGCTCATAGGAACAGGGATCACTACACATTTATCAAAATCAACAGGTGCCACACTCAAAAAGCCCAACATCCAAAAATATGCATCCAAAACATTCTACTAAGAAGATATTTAAGATCAGTTATAAAGGATTAGGTCGGTATAGCCATACACTCCTGCCAAAACCCTTGAGCCAAAAAAGCTTGCTTTATTTTTTGATGCAAAGCGATAATGTGATATCTGACATAGTTATGACTGCATAATCAACAATAATGTAAGATAATCATGGTTGCTAGAATGCAGCTGCTGATGAATGTGTCCCAGAAAAGGGATCGCCACATGAATCAAGGCACTGGAAGGAGAAGGAGCCCGAAAGAACCATATACTGGACTTGTTCTTGCAAAATGACCTCCATTCACCCAGACAGGCAATGAGCTGCCAACACGCTGAGCGCTCACCTGCCGCGTTCACGGGGGCAGGGCAGGGGCCCAGAACGTCCAATTCTGTGATCGTCCTAAGTGAAGGTTTTGCGGTTTATTTGAAGTTGGAGACTGTGGTAAATTTTCCAGGAGAGATTTTTGTCCTCACACTTGAGAGAGGTGATTCAAATAGATTCCAAAAGAAAAACGTCTTTCCTCAGACCACGAAAAGACACCATGATCTTCCGCTCAACAACACAATCTACCAAGTCGCAAGTGGTAATATTATCTGTGTCTGCTCTTGCTGGCTTTAGAATTGCTCTCGCTGAGAATTCTATTTTAAATATAAAAGAAACAAACAAAGGCAAATGTGAGAATAAGTAGGTTGATAGTTTCTAGGTCTCCAGATTAGTAGAGGAGATGGGAAAAGATGACACAAGGCTATTAGGCCCTTACAGCTCAGCCTTTTCTTTCTGTTTGGTGAAGACATGGCTACGAAACGGGCCGCCAGCCCTTGCAATGGCTGAAATAACTTGGAGCATCATGGCCTTAACTTTGATCAGCTAATCAACTCAGTAACATTCCAATAAGCAAAAATCAAAAGCTAGTGTTTGTCAGGTAAGATGCTAGGTATTCGTTTTCTAAGTAAACATAATTTTATTCAAGAAAAGTATTGAATGAGCGTCAGTTCTGCCCTTAAAACATTGTCCTCCTGAAACTCATCTGTCTTCTCCTCCGACACAATCATCCACCGACGACTTAAACCCCAAAAACAAGAAGTCATGTTGATTCCCCTTTCCCACTGCCTCCTGGTCTAACCCGGCAGAAGGGCCGTCAGCCCTCCTCCAGAACCCGTCCCATACTCACTGCCTCTGCTCTATGTCCCTTGCCACCCCCTACCCCAAGCTACCGCCACCTTCTCTTGCTCAACTACTGCAATACCCCACCGGTGTCCCACTTCTACTTCCGCCCGATGCTCTCTCACCCAAAGGCCAGGCTGAGGGATCCACGTGAAATATAGACTACGTTCTTCTCCTGCACAAAACCTTCCAAAAGTTCCCATTTAAAAAAAAAAAAATCCATTTTCCTTGCATGGCATTCATCGTTCTGGCTCTGAAATCCTTTTTGTCCTTCTCTCGTGAAACTTCAGCTACACACAGGCCCTCGGTCTGCACCTTCCTTAGGCCATGCTTCTGCTGTCCTCAGGCCCTTTGCACGTGCCGCTTAAGCGTCCTGGAAGGACCTTCCCTTGGACCTCATCTCATGACTTCTGAGTGAGGCTTCCCCCTACATTCACCCTACCCCAACCCCATTCACTCTATCTTATCACTGGGTTTATTTCCTTCATAGTATTTCCTGCGCTTTTATTTATTTATTTATTTTTAATCCTCACTGGAGAATATTTTTCCATTGATTTTTAGATAGAGTGGAAGGGAGGGAGGGGGAGAGAGAGAGAGAGAGAGAGAGAGAGAGAGAAACATCAATGTGAAACAGACACATTGATTGATTGCATCTTGTATGACCCCAACAAGGGGTCGAACCTGCAACCCAGGTAATGTGCCCTTGACTGGGAATCAAGCCCAAGACTCTGGTCCTCAGGCCGACACTCCAACCGCTGAGCCAAACTGGCCAGGGCATGTCTGGTGTTTTTGTTTCTTTTTTTTTTTTTTTCATCTCTCTTGCCACCATGCAGAGGAAACAAATTTCAGGAGAACAAGAATCTTATTTCTCTTGTTCACTAATACATCTCTGGAGCCTAAAACATTGCCTGGAATGTAGAATGTATTTGGTAAACACTTGGGAATGACTTGACATTATCACTCAAAGCTCTCTGCCTTTTAGTATTTTTGAAACTTTAAGGTAAAATATAAGAAAAAATAATGTGACGTTCTTTTATATTTTGGAGAACATTTCTAAGCAAGATAAATATTAGGCTCCAAACACACGTCAACGAGATTGTGCTAAATCAGGAGAGTTGGCTGAAGCGGGCTAATCCGTGTGCCGCATCAGTGACATCAGTGACATCAGTGACATCCTCAGCCACCCCTCCACTGCTCTCCTCTAGTCACGCGTGCAAAGGGAGAGAAAAGGCTGGGGTGCTCTCAGGGACGGGCGCAAGGTCGGGTGGGAACAGTGCCCATCACGAGCTTGTGCCCAAAGGGTGCTCTGTCTCGAAGGGCAACTGAGCTCAAGGGGACAGCTGCTGGAAATCCTCCCGGCAGTGATTTTCTAGAAATCAGCAGAGACTAATTATGGGAAACGTCTCCCCCCAGATAGGTCCCCATCGTCCCCACTGTGCCTCGCTGCACAGACCCTGTTCCGGTGCCTCTGCTGCGCTCTGAAGGAAGCCGCCACCTGGCACGCGGTAAGTGCACGGTTGTCAGGAGTGCTGGTGAAGTGCACCGAATGACGCTTCGGAGCAGAGCACCTGTCCTTTCGTGACTGTTGTGTTCAGTGCGGCGGGTGGAGAGAAAACCAGTCCCGAAGGTGGGACAGAAATTCCCATTCTGAGGAAATGGTCTCATATCTACGAAGGGATGTTTGTCACTTGTTTGTTTTCACTTCCTACGCCCCACCCCTGCCCCCAAACTAACGCAGGATGGAGCAGGGAGGAGTAGGAAGCAGCCAAGCAGAGATCAAGAAGAGAAAGTTCAGAATTTTCTTCTCTTCCGTTGATTCCAGTTCCGCATGTACTGAATGATGAGACTGCTCTTCTGAGCCTTAAAGGAGGAAGGTGCTGTCGAGTCGGGAATTGTTTAATCAAAAACTAAGCATTAGACACAGCTAGTGGTTGCCTTTGTCTGCATCGTATTCGTTTTAATTCCAACTTGGGAACTAACGTGTTTTCTAGAGCACAGCTCTGCAACGCCTTAGCCCGCCGTGCTCCCGGGTTCTGTCTCATTAATAAGACACCACTCTCATGAAGGACGAAGAAAAGGGAAGAAAAAAATTTAATCACAGCAGTAACTAGCTGCTATGTCATAAAAAATAAATAAACAGGTAAGTCTTAAGCTTCGCACGTCACAGCCCATCCTGGGAAATCTCCTTCCCGATCACGTAACGTGGGTGTTTCCTCCACAGCATCACCTGTGCTACCAGCAAGACCTCCCAGTGATTTCATGTGGGTTATCTCTCTCGCACTGGAGGGAGATTCAGAAGGCCACAGGGTGTAATGGGCCAGAAGGAAGCAGGCACAGAGACATTTACGATCTACCACTGCACCTGGATCTCAGACAGGGCTCGCTTTCAGTGTCTTTCGAAGCTCATCACTAGTTCATCTTTGGGGGGGGATCAAGAGCACACCCACTGAAGAGGTCTGTCAGTGCAGGGGGCACAGATGGAAGCAACAGCCTAACCCACCTGGCCGAGATCTCTGCCTCACGAACACCTCTGCCCAAGTGAGCTAACCAGACCCTGAAGTTCTGTATGACAATCATATGTGCTCATCGCAACTGATGCCATACATGTGCCACACACCTGAGAAAGATCAGCAATACGCTGGCTTGACATTATAACAAAATCCCACTATACTGACACTCTTTATGAGTGATGAACATGCCTTCTGAATGACTGTCCCGCAAATAACGCGTGGTCACTGGGAGCAGGGGAGAAGGCAGACAGTGCTGCTTCTTGTCAGTATTCTGTTCACCGATGAGAAATGAGCACAAGGAACTAGCATCCCAAGGCCCACGGAGACCTGCGGCCACTGGGAACCAAACTCTGCCAAAGGGGCTGCTTCTGCAGGAAGCTCTGTGGCCAGCAAAGGCGGAAATGCTGATCAGAACCACTTGAACATCATCACTGATTAAAGCAGGCGAGGAAACTGCCAAGAGTGGCCATCTGTTAAAGAAGGGAGGTTTGGCAAATATATTTAAGAATTCCCTAGAAATCTCACCACTCGCGAAAACATGGATGGACCTAGGCAGCACTATGCTAAGTGAAGTCAGTCAGAGAGAGAAAGACAAATACCATATGATTTCACTCACATGTGGGATCTAAAGAGCAAAATAAATGAACAAACAAAATAGAAACAGACTCACAGATACAGAGAATGGAGGGGGGTTGGGGGACCGGGTGCATAAGGTGAAGGGATTAAGAAGTACAAATGGAGGAGGGGAAAAGCACAAATTGGTAGTTACGGACACAAAGATATAAAGTACGTGTAGGGAATACAGTCAACAATGTTGTGATAACCATGCATGGTGCTGGGCGGGTACTGGAAATATCGGAGGGAACACTTTGTAAAGTATGTGATGGTCTAACCACTGTACACCTGAAACTAATACCAAATACTCTTAACCGTGAACTGTAATTGAAAGATGAGAAAGAATCGCCTAGTGATGAAGGGAAGTGCAGACACAGACACGCTGAGCTGCTGACAGGTTGGTTTTTAAGTTCTAGGGTGACTGGGCAGACACATCACAACTGCCACTCCGACTGCTGTCTGCCCCGGGACGGAAGGGCACCTACTTACATCAAACGGGGCCGAGCTGGCCTGGGCGTTCTGGCTGCACCGTTCCCGGAAGCAGTCACTGAAAGGAAGGAGCAGCCCCATGGCAATGATCCGTGAGCAAAACTTCTCTGCTTCTTCTGGGGGTCCGTTCTCCTGCTGGCTGAACAGCTTCTCCAGCAGAGTCCGCCCTGCGGGGAGACGGGTGGTTAGCAGGAGCACTGACAGGTCACCTGCCTCCCAGCCCTCCCAGGGGACACGCTTGGTAAACACAGGGAGCAGCCCAGTTGCCAAGGCTACTGACGTGTGCAGAAAACAGCCTCTCAGACGCGCAGAAGTCTGCAGTGGGAGGCCTGCGTTACCCCATGGCAAAGGGCAGCTCGGGTTTCCTCTCCCATCCCCCACAATGCCTCCTGCCCCCACAAGAGGATGGGGGCCCCTCTTCTCCATCTGAAGAAGGGCCCAGCCTTTTGGATTCATTGGTAATCCTCTTCCCTAGGAAGCGAGTCACCGCCACTGGCCAGGAAATGTCGGTGGCTGGCATCCATTCTCAGGCATGGCAACGGGAAGGGGCAGGGACAAGGAGACAGGGAGGAAGGCAAAGGCACCAACCCTGGGAAAGGAAGAAAACTGACCAGCAAAAAAGTCACCACAAAGAGGAAAGTGATAGAAACTCAAAATTTTCTCATCTGCACCTCTGAAGCATAACTGTAGAATAGGCCTAAACTTCTCTGCTATGATTTCCCTAAAAAGAGACAAGAAAACTGGCTGAGGACCCTAGAGAGCCCGGGTCCACCTGATCCCTGAGTTCTCAATCCTGGCCGCACCTTAGACTCACCAGGGAGAACGACATGGTGGGAGCAGGACCCAGACAGCAGTGTTTCCCTGGTCCCCAGCTGACTCTCGCGCTATTGAGAGTTGATAGCCACAGACCCCGCCCCTAATCCACTCAGCCACTGCTTGCTCTCTAATTTATTATCCTGCAGAAAATTAGTTAGCCGGTCCCTGCCTCAATCAGCTTCAGTAGAAGAAACAGCAAATCTCTAGGGTCCCCTCCGGAGCCGCAGCTGTTCCCTCAGTTCTGGCCCTGTTGCTGCCCCTCCCTCTAATTAGGGGAGCCAGTCTTCAAATTTAGAGTGGCCTTCAGCGACCCAGCGTGCCACACTCTTTTGGAACCCTTCAGAGCTCCTTGGTGCAATTCGTTATTTTAATTAATTGTCTGTGCAATTTGTTTAATGTTTACTTCCCTCTGACAGCCAGCAAATACCCTGCAAACCTGGCCACGTGCACATAAGAGGCATCCATAAATACGTTCAGGATTTCTGAATGAATACCATGTGACTGTGACGAGGACTCGCTCACATCACGGCCAGAACTGGAGAGGAAGTATCAGTCTATCCCAGGGGTCTGTAAAAGGCCAGCTGGTAAATATTACAGGCTTTGAAAGCCACGTAAAATCGGTCGCACATTCTTCTTTGTTTCTGTTTTGTTTTGAAGACTTTGAAAATGTACAAAGCATTCTTTAGCTCCGGGCTACGCAAAACCAGGCCCAGGTCGATATTTTAGTTATAACAACTAAATCTCAAATGCATAATAAATATTCAATTCTTCAAGACACTGGCAATGCAATCTTTCTGTCTCTTCCTATTTTTGTTGGTGAAACAAAACAGATTTCCAAATCTCCCTCTGATGGAATGACAAAGCAGGACAAAAGAGGCCTCTGTGTTCTCTGTTCCTTTAGGTCACTAGAGAACATTCTATCACCTCCCAAGACTTTTTTGGAGGGGAAATAAAGGATTTTTATTTTTCCTATAGAACTTCAGCTTGTCCACACCTGACTGGAACCGAACACCAAGGAAACCTCATCCCTTAATTCTCAAGTGATTAATTATCATTACAGTGCGCTCATTTTATACATCTTATGGTATGAGTGAAAATAGCCCTGAAACTAATTAGTGCTTTTCTACAGCTGATATTGTGTATAACCAAAAATAAGAGACTCCTTCCCTGTATGTGTGTGTGTGTGTGCACGCGCACGTGTGTGTGTGTGCAAGCATGTGAGTAAACGTGTTCTGAGCCAAAATTTTCGAAAAGGGATATGGAGCAATGTGGAAGAAGGGAATATAACCCCTGGAACTTCAGCTCTACGCTGAGCCGATACCCTGAATCCTTCACCTGAATCTCAGCTGCTCTTTTCCCAGTCTCCCCTTTATTCTTCCGAGAGCTCAGGCCTTGACATTATATGTCTGTACTCTGTCTCCTCCTCATGGAATGTGTGGACAGAAATGGAGTTCAAAGTAACCTCACAGGGTGAGCTGACCCTGAGCTCCTAACCGGGCAGGTCACTGGAGGTAGTCATGCCCAGACATAGAACTTCTTTAGTAAAAGGTTTATCTTTGCCTTAAGCAGCCCTGTCCATTGTTTTTGTGCATACAGGTTAACACACCTTTGAAATCCCCTTCAGATCCCTCCCTCTACAGTGTGACCACTCCCAAGAGAGCACATAATCATAACTATCCAGTAGTTCAAGCCCCGCCTTACCCTCCCCCACCGGCTTGCATCTTCCTTCGTTCCCTCCCTAACTCTAAATGCATGGAAGAAGCTGCAAATAGTCATTTCTTGGAAGCATTCCACCTCAATCTGTTGAGATCTTGCTTCCAGATCTTGTGTGTTCGACTCAAATACATTTTTATAAAAATTCTCTAAGGTTTGGACAGTCCTACATTGACATTTACTTGGTGTAGTCAGCAGGATTCAAAAGGAGCCCACCCTGGTTCAGCAGACCCAGACTCCTGCCGGGCACCAGCAGGGGGCAGTCCCAGGCCCCTGCAGGGCACCAGCAGGGGGCAGACCCAGGCTCCTGCAGGGCACCAGCAGGGGGCAGTCCCAGGCTCCTGCAGGGCACCAGCAGGGGGCAGTCCCAGGCTCCTGCCGGGCACCAGCAGGGGGCAGACCCAGGCTCCTGCAGGGCACCAGCAGGGGGCAGTCCCAGGCTCCTGCAGGGCACCAGCAGGGGGCAGTCCCAGGCTCCTGCCAGGCACCAGCAGGGGACAGACCCAGGCTCCTGCAGGGCACCAGCAGCGGCACGTTGTTCCAGGCAGGCTCCCTGCTCCCCACTGGGTGAACCTGGGAGAGTCTTCTCTTGGAATCCTGGAACTTACCTCGTTTAGGTAGCAGTTCCTGACTTTATTTGAGCTGTTCAAATGTGGCTGCGTTTAATTTCAGCTTTTTTACATTGGCTCAAAACGAGCATTAAAATTAACATGGGTAAGTGTGCCTCTGTTATTGTTGCAATTAGCTAACTAATATTAAAATAGGAGGCGAGTAAAGGGGAGGCCAGACAATACAAGCTTGGTCATCTGGGCAGCTTCACCAGGAAGCTGCAATTTCACTCTTCCCAGGAAACCACCAGTCTGTCCCCTGCAAATCACTGGGGGAAGGGAGATGGGTACATGCACACTGAAGTTGGGCTGACATAGAGAAGGTGTTTGCCTGTCAGTCTAACCTGGGAACAGAAACAATTGGCTAGGGGGGTGGAGCCATTGCGAAATCCTTAAGGGTCAATGGTTAAGGTCCTGATGATAACCCCGACACAAGTTCTCTCCTGCCCACTTCCTCTTGAGCTCCTGTTTCTCACTAGCTCTGTGACCATGTACCTCCACAGCCACGTGGCCTTGGCAGCCCATGGCCATGCAGACCTCACACACAGTGACTGCAGCTGGGAACACGAGCTAAGCTAGCCAGATGCTGGACTGGACGGTGCTTCGATTTGGAGCAGAAACTCTGGGCAGTGGCTTTAATCCTGGCTTTGCTAAAGACAAGGCTGGACTTTTTCCATGGTGATACGGAGGGAATAGGGCCTTAGAAACCCAGAGGTTTAAGTCCTCAGATACTTTCTATGATACTTCATCCTCCTGGGGGCATAAGGAAATTCCTTTCCCTGTGGCATCCCCAGAGCGCCTCTTCCACCAGTGACAGGTGGGGATACAGGGGGCACCCAACCAATAACACCTCCAAGACTGACAAGCCTCTCAACAGTCAGAGTACAAGTCATATGGACCTTCAACATGCGAGTATCTGCAGAAATGGAGAAAATTAATTAAATATGCTGTCAGCTTGAGATGGCTGAAGCTATCCTGTAATGCAATCCCTGCCTTGCTTTCTCCTACCTTTACATTATCTTCTTTACATTTCCTAAATTCTAAATAAAAGAAGCTGCATGTTCTCAGTCTGTTGAGATCTTGCTTCCAGGCATATCCTGTTTGGCTCAAATACATTTTTATAAAATTCTCTACGGGTTTGGAAATTCTTATATCGACATAGCTATGGCCATAGACAAGTTACTCAACCTCTCTCAGGCCTCAATATTCTCAACTGTAACTGGCAATAGTCATCCTCATTACCTCCTAGGATTGTTGTGAGAATTAAGTGACATAATTGTATAATGGATGTGAACGCTGGGGAAAAAGAGACCCAACAAGAAGGGCTCCTGGTGGCTAACTGGCCCAACATTCAAAGACAGAGCCTAGCAGACATTTCTAAACACGGGCCTCTCACACAAGCTACACCTCAAGGAGAAGCCTGCACTAAACTGCATTTCTGATATCTGAGCCAGCCCTTATAAAAGAAGTCTTGGAATTGTATTCCAACCAATAGGACCGAAGCTTTCCCCATCCAATCAGAGCTCCACAGCTATATCCCTATCAGCACCTTTACCAAGCGATCAGAGTGGCTCCATTCTGACCAATCAGGACAGTGCCTTTTGGACCAATCAAACTGTGAGGATTTGGAGTCCTCATCTGCATGAAGACGGACCAATCGGACCAGGGGTGGGGACTTCTGTCTATATAAGTCAGCTCCCCTCTGCCTCAGGGAGCCACTTTCTTTTTCCATCAAAGGCTGAGGACTGTACTTCCTGGCTGGAGCTGAAACACCAAAAATGTCTCTCCAGGGCAGAGCGAAGCAGATGGGTGCAAAGCAGAGCAGAACGGTCTAGCCAGAGAGAGACTGCGTCACCCCAGGGCCAACTCACAGCCATGCTGTTTTCTAATTGAGCTATAACACCACTGAGCTGTTCCACAGCCTTGCTGTATCCCAGTTGAACTGTTTACACTGAATAAAGGTTCCTTCTTCACTGCACCCCTGTTGGTGGTGAATTGGCACCATAAAAATTTGGTTCAACTTAAAGGAA